CGCTCTTCCTCCTTCCCTGTTCCGAAGCTTCCCGGAGGGCACAGAGACGCAGTGGGCTGAGTGATCCTCCTCCGAGCGTGGGGCTTCAGAAAGCTCACCCTCTCCCCGGCCCCCAGGGAGCAATCTGCAGCGCGGAGCGATGGACTCCTCCTGGCTGGAGACACGCTGGGCGCGGCCCTTTCACCTGGCGTTCGTGTTCTGTCTGGCCCTGGGGCTGCTGCAGGCCATCAAGCTCTACCTGCGGAGGCAGCGGCTGCTGAGAGACCTGCGCGCCTTCCCCGGGCCCTCCACCCACTGGTTCTACGGGCACCAGAAGGTAGGGAGATGGAAGGGAGGGGCGAAGGAGGATATTGGAAGCCCCACCCACAGAAAGGCTGCTTCCTTCCCTTCCTCCTATCCCTCCATACTGTACAGACCTATCTGGCCCAGTCTGTGGCTCTCCGCATCTTTTCATTATTCTAAACGTGTGCCCTCACAGCTCCTTGAGGAAAGGGAAACACCCTGGAGCGATTAGAGAGGAAGCTTTGGCGGCTGGGAGGGGGCTATTTTAAGAGACCTAATCCGGAAAAAGAAAATGTGGTGTTATCTCTGGTCTCTCTGCTTCAATCTCTTGCATTTACGCACTGCATTTTAAAAAGACTTCCACATGTCTTTAACATATATATATATATGTTACATAAATATATGTATATTTATGTAATCCTAAATAATACTTATTAATTGCAGAAAATGTGTCAAACTGAACACAATAGTTGCCAACCTTAGTCTATTCCCCCAGATAAAATTAACTTTCTTTTTCTAAGACTCTTGAGAAGTAAGGAGCAGCCCCAGATGGTCACTCAAAAAATATTGACTGATTGAAATTTGTAAGGTAGGGGAAGACTGTTTGTTACCTTTGGGTCTCTTCAGTTCTCTAAATCCACTCCACCCCTGACTCTTTGTTTTATCAGAAATATAAACTAATAATTCTTTGAAATGCATTATTCTCTAAAGTCATATAGAAAACAAAAAGTGAGTTATAAACCACTGTTCCAATAATACTAGCTTTTATTATTGCCCGTGTATTTACCTTTATTGAGCCCTTTATTTCTTCCTATGGCTTTGAGTTACTGTCCAGTGTCCTTTCATTTCACCATGCAGAACTCCTTTGCACATTTCTTGCAGAGTATTTCTAGTAGTAATAAGCTCCCTCAGCTTTCGTCTATCTGGGAATGTCTTAATTTCTCCTTCAATTTTGAAAGACGGTTTTGTTAGATATAGAACCCTTGGTTGACAGTTGGTGGTGGTGGCGGCGGCGGCGGTGGTGTGTGTGTCTGTGTGTATGTATTTAGCACTTTGAATATATCAGCCCCTGTCTTCTGTCCTCCAAAGTTTCTGATGAGAAATCTACTGCTAAATTTATTGAGGATCCCTTGTATGTAAAGAGTCACTTCTCTCTTGCTGCTTTCAAGGTTCTCTCTTTGTTTTGGCCATCAAAAGTTTGATTAGAATGTGTCTCAGTGTGGGGCTCTTGGAATTCATCTTACTTGGAGTTCACTGAGTTTCTTAGATATTTATATTCATGTTTTTCATCAAATTTGGGAAGTGTTTGGCCATTATTTCTTCAAATATTCTCTATCTTTTTCTCTCTGTCTTCTCCTGGGATTGTATGTTTGTCAGCTTGATGGTATCCCATGGGTCCTTTAGCTCTTCACCTTTCTTCAATCATTCTTTTTTCTCAGACTCAATAATTTCCATTGTTCTATATTTAAGTTCATTGATTCTTTCTTCTCTATGAGCATACCTGCTTTTGAATCCCTCTAGTGAGTTTTTCATTTCAGTTATTCTGCTTTTAATCTCCAGCACTTCTTTTTTTTAAATTAATTATTATTATTTTTTTTATGGTGACATTAGTTCCAGCACTTCTTTTTGGTTTTCTTTTGGGGTTTTCTATCTCTTTATTGATATTTCTATTTTTTACATTCCACTTCTATATATCATTTAAAAAATCTTTCTCCACGTCTTCCTTTAGTCCTTTTAACATCTGTAAGACAGTGCTTTTAAAGTCTTTGCCTGGTAGTGTTGCCCTTCGGTCTTTTTCTGTGGCAGCTTCTGTTGATTTAATTTTTTCCTTTGAATGGGCCATATTTTTTTGTTTCTTTGTATGACTTGTGATTCTTTGTTGAAAACTGGACATTTCAGTCTAATAATATGATAACTCAGGAGATCAGATTCTCTCCCTTCCCCAGGGTTTGCTTTGTTTTGCTTTGTTTTATTTATTTATTTTTAAATTGCTGCAAGCTTTCTCTTTAACAAAGATCATCAGAAAAGACCTAAAGGTCTTTTTTCAGCTCTTCACATGGTAGACCTAAGGTCTTTTCTGAGCCTGTGATTTTCCTTGGGAATATGTGGTCACTTTCTGATTTTCCTTGTATATACAATTGCTTTCAAATATCCTAGTCTTTAAT